ACAATTTTCTTAACAAATTCTTCCTTTTTGTATCTGCTAACCTTAGAAATATCTTTGATTTTCGTTACCCTAGACCCAATGTTTGGTATATTGAAGATCTTGCTCAAGTCAGCGTAAGATAACGCTTTGATTTCACCTTCAATTTTTATAGAAATTGATTCTGACCCACTAGTTTTAAGAGAACCGTAAAACTCCTTAACCTCATTCTCATAACACGGTCTGTTCAAGGATAAAAAAATCCATCCATCCCTAGAACTCAAAGAGTTCCCTGAAGTTGAACTTGTCCTTCCCAAAGAACTTTCAGTCTATTACATAAGAACGCATAAGAGGGTATGGAAAAAGAATAGATTTACCTTTGGCGTGAGAACTAGCGACCTATTTTTTTAATTTTTCTATTTTTGCTTTTTCTTTCTTTGGTTCCTCAACAAATTTCTTCTGTTTTGACTCCTTCTGTTCATACTTCTTTGATAACCTTTTTAGAAGTTGAAGTTCTTGTTCCGTCAAAGAGTCTGAGTTTGATAACCTTTTTAGAAGTTGAAGTTCTTGTTCCGTCAAAGAGTCTGAGGAGGAGGAGGTAGAACTCGATCCGGCCATTGTTAAGGTTTTAAAGCAAAAAGCATTTTGATAACCTTTTTAGAAGTTGAAGTTCTTGTTCCGTCAAAGAGTCTGAGGAGGAGGAGGTAGAACTCGATCCTGCCATTGTTAAGGTTTTAAAGCAAAAAGCATTTTATGGTTTTGTTGCAAGAGGGCAAGAGAGAAGACAAAGCAGTTTTTAATAGAGAAGCAAAAAACGATTAAGTTGAGAAATAATCTTTAGGAAACAGGGAAACACTTAAAGAAAAAGAAGTTAACAAGACAAAATAAAATTAAAAAAAAAACTGTTTTAGGGAAATTCAAACTGACTTAAAGAATTTAAAAAGAAAAATAATACCGCCAAAACTTAAATAAAGCAAAGACATAAAACAAGGTAAAACAGACATAAAACAAGGTAAAACGAACATAAAAAAAATTGACTGTTTTTGAATTTTGTCTAAAGATAGAACTTGATAATGACATTAGAAAGTCATATTAGAGCAGTGTGCATTTCTTTTAGACGGAAATATTTTTTAGAATCATACAGAATACTAAAAACATAACACAGAGCAAATCTTTTAATTTCAAATATAGAAAGCGGTTTAGAACATACTTACAGAGTTCTAAAGTTAAGAGTTTAGAACTAACATATCGAACTCTCTTCTAATTAAGCAAAATTGGCTTTGATTCAACGGTTTAGTAAAGATATCTATCAATTGCTTTTCTGTTGGAATGAACTCAATCACTATATCACCTTTTTAAACAAGATCACGTATGAAGTGATGTCTGAGTTCTATGTGCTTGGTTCTAGAATGTTGGACTTGATTTTTAGATAAATTGATGGCTTATATTGTCACACTTGATTGGTATTGTTTCTAATTTCAGACCGTAGTCTGCTAATTATTGCTTAATCCATAGAACTTGTGCAACATAGCTTCCAGCAGCAATATATTCTGTTTCTACAGTAGAAAGAGCAACGGATGTCTGTTTCTTGCTAAATCATGATACAAGGGCGCTACCTAGAAATTGGCAAGTTCCAAACGTGTTTTTTCTATCTATTTTGCTTCCTGCAAAATCAGAATCACTGTACCCAACAAGATAAAATGTATCACCTTTTGAATACCACAGACCCAGATTGGAAGATTGGAAGTTCCACAAAGATATCTTAGAATTCTTTTTACAGCAATTAAATGAGATTCTTTGGAACATGATTGAAATTTAGCACATAGACAAACACTAAAGTGAATGTCAGGTCTGCTTGCAGTTAGATATAGTAAAGAACCAATCATACTTCTAAACAATTTGATCAGGTCTGGCTTGCAGTAGATATAGTAAGAACCAATCATACTTTCTAAAACAATTTTGGATGGGTCCACATCCTTACTTTTTCATATTTTTCTAAATTTTTGAGGATGGACTCATTGGTGTACTAAACGTACCTTGGCATTTTTCATCTTGAATCATTTCAACAATCTTCGCGTATATTTTCCCTTTGGGTTTATAAAATTCCACCTTCACATTAATTTTGATTTGGAAGTCCAAGGAAGAAATTTAATTCTCCATCATGCTTCATTTTCAAACTTACCTGCATAATCTTAGAAAATTCCTTAAGAAGATTCAATAGTAGAAGTAGAACCAAAGATTATGTCATCAACATAGATTTGTACAACTAGAATATCATGCACTTTATTTTTAATAAATAGTGTTGTATCAACCTTTCCTCTAGAAGAACCATTTTCTAATAAAAACTTATTTAATCTTTCATACCAAGCTCTAGGAGCTTGTTTCAAACCATAGAGAGCTTTAGTAAGTTTGTAAATATGATTTGGTTTATCATATGCTTCAAAACCATGAGGTTATTCTACATACACTTCTTCATTCAGAAAACCATTTAGAAAAACACTTTTCACATCCATTTGATACAACATGAAGTTTTTAAAACATGCAAATGCACAAAGCATTCTAATGGCCTCTAATGGCCTCAAGTCTATCACAGAGGCAAAGGTTTCATCAAAATCGATGCTTCCTCTTGGTTGTACCCTTGGGAACCTTGCTTTGTTTCTCACAACATTACTTGTTTTCATTAAGCTTATTTCTAAACACCCATTTTGTAACAGAATGGTTTTTAGGTCTAGAAACAAGTTTCCAAACTTGGTTTATCTCAAATTGATTTAGCTCTTCTTGCATAGCAAGAATCCAACTCACTTTCATCATTTTGAGCATCTTTTAAATTCTTAGGTTCTAATTGAGAAACGAAAGCAATATTACCAAAATATCTCTTAAGTTGAGCTCTAGTCATCATCTTTCTAAAGGGTTGTCCATGATGTCCTCTTAAGGATGATACCTGTGAAATCGCCACTCTTTTGGTAATTCAAAATTCTCATTTTCTATTTTTGGCATTTGACTTTCAGTTACGTTCTAATCTTCATGTTCATCTTGTGATTCAGCCTAATTATCAATATTCTGCTCACTTTTTGGCTATTTTAGTTGTTCTGGTTGTTCATTATGCTTTTCTTGATTGAAATCTACAAGATCATCATTTTCTAAAATTCTAGAAGGAGAATCAGATTCATCAAACACAATACGGATAGATTCTTCTACAACTAGACTTTTCTTATTAAATACCCTATATGCTTTACTATTACTAGAATATCCTAGAAAAATTCCTTAAAAGATTTAGCATCAAATTTAGTTAGGTGATTTTTCTTGTTATCTAGAATAAAACATTTACACCCAAAAATATGAAAATAACAAATGTTTGGCTTTCTACCTTTATATAGTTCACATGGAGTCTTTTTCAGTTTAGATCTTACCTAAACCATGTTTAGAATATAACAGGCAGTGTTAACGGCTTCTCCCAGAAATACTTTGGTAAATTAGAATCACTCAGAATGGTTCTGGCTATCTCCTGAAGTCTTCTATTCTTACATTCCACTACTCCATTCTGCTGGGGTGTTCTAGGTGCTGAGAAGTTATGGAAGATTCCTGATTCTTTGCAAAAAAAAACATCAAATTTTTTATTTTCAAATTCACTTCCATGGTGTTTTCGCCAACCGCCCCCGAGCGATCCGGAAAATGCTCGATTTATATTGTTTTTGGAAATTGGAAAAGTGATTATTAAGAAAAGTGGTGACAAAACCTTTGATGAACAAACACGTCATACCTGGATCTATCCTTATTTCTAAGGAAGAGTGTCGCAGGTGAATCTAGAATAGTCATCTTCAATAACAAATGCATAAATTTTCCTTCAAAGACTAGAAGGAGTAATAGGTTCCGAATAAATCAAGGTATAGTATTCTAAGTTCTAGAAGTAGAAACCATGGCCCTTAGATTTGAAAGGATTGTTCTGGTTTGTTTTTGCCCAATTGAACCAAGTAATCGCAAATTGTGATCTTTTTCGAAATTTTCAACTTTGGCAAACCTCGAACCAAATCTTTCTTATATTAGTTTTAGAAATAAGGTGCATGCTTGCACTGTCCCAAGCCTCTAATGCATTAACTAACTAGAATTATCATAAAAACTAAGCACATGTCTAGCTTCATGCATATCAAGAGAGATCTACTAAGTATATATTCCTCAAACCTTTTTTCCAAGCAAATTAAAGTTTTGTTAATCATATATGTTCTGAACGTTTTACACAATAAGATTGGGTTCAAAGATCACCGTCTATTTTTTATCGCAAATCTGACTTGCGCTTAACAAGTTATAATATAATCCTTCTAACTAAGTATAATCTTCTTTTTGAAGATTAAGGACCTATCGACACCAATACCAACGATTTTACCCTTTTCGCTTTGTCTCCAAAGCTTATGTACCTCCCTTTTTCTTTCTAAATGGTGATTTCTTTCTACACCAGTCATACCAAAGCTTACTGTACCTCCCTTTTTCTTTTCTAATATGGTGAATTTCTTTCTACCACCAGTCATATGCCTAGAGCAAGCGCTGTCCATGTACCACATTTCTGTTTTCAGCTCACTCCTTAGGCACACATTGCTTTCTTCATGCTTTTAGACCGTTGCATCTGTTTCATCAACTTTCTGTGTTAAAGTCAGAGTGCTGATTTCCTTGGAGTCAGAATTGATAGTGGCCATCAGACAGATATTTATATTTCTTCTTGTTCACTTTGGCTTTCAGAATTAAAATCATCTGAATCACTTCAAGCGGTTAAGAGCTTGCATACCTCGTGTGCACATGTGAGTACCCGACATCCTTTTTGTGTTTTTCGACTCTGCCTTGCTTCGTACGACCGACCTCTAACTGTAATGATGTCATTCAATCGATTTCCTCCTCCTTCCAAAAACATGTCGTTTTGCATTTTCACAGTTTGCATTTACATTTTTATCCTCATCAGATTTTAAGACGCCTCGTTCGTTTCCTAGCTGTATCTTTCCGTGCCATGGAACGAATAATTCCCTATATAATTATTGTTTTTAAAATTCTATAACACTCGTTTGCTCGCCATTCGCGTATTATCCTGCGTGTGTAAAGATGACATAGCGCAAAGCCACTAGAAGTCACTGGAGAAACTCTATTAAGATGACATAGCCCAAAGCCACTAGAAGTCACTGGAGAAACTCTAGTCACTCGGGGACTTTCACTCTCTTGCAGATGGCTAACTCCAAGTCTCAGAAGAGCGTTCTGCTATTATGCGGGGATTACATGGAGGATTATGAGGTTAGTTTCTTCTGATTTCTCTCTCCCTTGTTTGATTATCGATAATTTCCTTACTGTTTTGGTTGTTCTGGCAGGCGATGGTTCCTTTTCAAGCTTTGCTCGCCTATGGAGTAGCTGTTGATGCCGCCTGCCCTGGCAAGAAAGCCGGCGAGTTTTGCCGGACTGCAATTCATGAGTCTTCTGGTCATCAGGTCCTGTCTATTTTACATTTATAGAAAAAATAAATTTTCGTTTTACTTTTATTCTGTGTTTTTTGGTTGAATTCGTGCGCCAATTTTTTTTTTTTTTTTATCTCAATGTTGATTACAAATTATTCGTTGTTTAAGGTTTAATAGAATCGTTAGTAGGTCTCGATTTAATAGACAGTGGATTAGCTCTAGAGAGCATTTTGTGTATCTCACGTAATGAATGAAGCACAAACACAATATGTTGAATTCATTCCTTCTTTTTGATTGTAGACATATTCCGAGTCACGTGGGCACAATTTTGCTATCAATGCGACGTTTGATGAAATTGACTTTGGCAAATACGATGGGTTGGTGATACCGGGAGGACGAGCTCCAGAATATCTTGCCATGAATGAATCTGTGTTAGATTGTGTCAGAAGGTTTTCCGATGCTGCAAAGCCTATTGCTTCTATTTGCCATGGACAGTTAATTTTGGCAGCTGCAGGGTCGGTAAAAGGTAGAAAGTGCACTGCATACCCTCCTGTTAGACCTGTACTAATTGATGCTGGTGCTCATTGGGTTGAGCCTCAAACCATGGCCGCTTGTGTTGCTGATGGCAATATAATTACTGGGGCTACATATGAGGGGCATCCTGAGTTCATTCGGCTTTTTGTGAAGGCATTAGGAGGTGTCATAACTGGTTCAGATAAAAGGATTCTGTTTCTCTGTGGGGTAGGTTGCAATGACATGCTTGATTTGTGTAGATAAAGTGGTTATGTACTGAATCTTTTGTCTCTGTCTGTGTGTGTGTGTGTGTGTGTGTTTTGGTCTAGATTTCACTATCATTTTGAAACTTTTTGAGTTAATACATAATTATTTAAGAAAAAGCATGCACATGGTAGATAAGATATTTCAAGTTTATGGAAATTTGCTCACACATATTAAGAGAGGAGAGGAAGAGATGTGGCAATTCAAAGGCAATAAATTTACCTATTACTTCTAGTCTCCAAATATGTATTCATAAACTACCCATGTATCACACATGGATGTGCACGCAAGCACAAGTTTTTGGAAATTTAAAGGATGGTGAAGCTGTGTGAAAGAGAATTTATATTTTACTTCTAATCTCCAAATATGTATTCATAAACTACCCATATATCACACGTGGATGTGCACACAGGCACAAGATGGTGAAGCTATGTAAAAGAGCTTCATGTGTGTATGTATATGTTGGTGTTGAAATATTGCTTAGGTATTAATCATTTCAATCACTCTGCAGAGATAACATTTTTTCTTTTTTGTATTTTTTAAATGATATTTGCTGCATCACTAAAAAAAATTGATGATAATTATGTTAATAAACGCAATACATTTGCATGGAAATTAATAGAATGAGATTGGTACTATGTAAATGAAATTATGATGTGGAAACTTGAAGCAAGATTTAAAAAGTATTAAGTAAAACTTTTGTAGTGAGCAACTGTGCGTACTTTTTATAAAAAAGCAAGCTTGTGTGGGTGCCTTTTTTTCTTGTTATCAGTTAGGTGATTTAATTCTCTATGGATTATGGAAGACGGTCTATCTATGGAGAGTCTTAGGCTGCACAAAAATGCACAATAGTGATAATTCCTTTTTTGAATGGATATGGTTGTCTAATTTATTTTTCTAGATTAGAATTTAGGCTTAGTTGAGTTGAGTCGTGTCTAGTTTTGAAATTGCCATCTCATTAATGGAAAATGGATTCAATATTTTCTTTCATTCCAAAATAATAATGGAGAAAAAATATGTTTGCAGAACATTTTTTAATTATGTATATGGCATTTGAATTTGATAATTAATCAATATTGCTAAATATGTTTACTACTTTTGCACCTTGATTGCAGGATTACATGGAAGATTATGAGGTAACTGTTCCTTTTCAATCTCTTCAAGCTCTTGGTTGCCATGTTGATGCAGTTTGTCCCGAGAAAAAGTCTGGGGATTCCTGCCCAACTGCTGTCCATGATTTTGAAGGGGACCAGACTTATAGTGAGAAGCCAGGCCATCATTTCACTTTAACTGCATCCTATGAAGGGTTAGATGCCTCAAGTTATGATGCTCTTGTTATCCCAGGAGGCCGGGCTCCAGAATACTTGGCCCTAGATGAGACGGTGATTGCATTGGTGAAAGAATTCATGGGATCTAAGAAGCCTGTGGCATCCATTTGCCATGGGCAGCAGATCTTAGCTGCTGCTGGTGTTCTGAAGGTAGTTTCTTTTATGTTGTTTTCAAGTGAAACATTTTTTTTATTGTATTTTCACATTATGCACGCAGGCACCCATGTCTAGTTGTCTTGCATGTGAACAATTAAACTTATGTGCATGTTGACTAGAAACCTGGCACCACCACTCTCTCTGACCTAAGCAGAAAATGAACAGTCAAACATTTCTTCCTGCCATGCATCTTTTAACATCAGAGAATATTTTCATCTTCTAATCTGTAGTTTTATTCTTTCCAATTCCAAGAACAAAATGCCCAAACAAGGCCATTCAGTGATAGCTTGAGGCACACATTGACTTTGTGGTGGCATGTAATTTGGAGATGTGACTGGTTTCACATGGGACTAGGCACCTATTGCTGAATGATAAGTTCAACCAGCAATAAATTATGTTATAACTTCACCAGAATACCTTTCAAAGACCCTATGTTGGATATCCATTTGGATGTAGTTATTTCTCCTACTCTATTTCTCGTAAAAAGATACGTGTTTTCCCCTTACCTTAAGAGTCTAATGTTAAAAAAAAAAAATGAAGGATAAGAGAGTGGGTACTGTTGGATTAAATTAAAGGTTCTGTACTTAGGGAAAAAAGATATGTTTTATCTATTTAAAGGAAATCTTAATTCAATTGGAATTGGGCTGTTAATGTTTACTTGAGTGATAAATAATGCTATTTTCTGGGTTCTTTTATGCATATTCTATTTGATTAAGTTTTTTTTGGCACTTGTTTCAGATTCATATATGTGAGATTATGCAATGTTATTATCAACATATTGGTTTTAAGATTGGATTCATATATGTGAGATTATCCCCTCCATGTTGCCTATTTGCTCTTCCTAGGGAAAGGCATAGATATCTTGGCTATATATGCATTGATAAATAATAATAATTTAATAAACTTGTTGTAGAAATCATTATTATTTTTTGCTTTTGGAAATTTGATTTTCTTTATTTGATTTATTTTTAGAAGGAAACATATGCTGATCTAACCAAAACTACCATGTCATTAACCTTTATATGAATCAACTTGTAGGGAAGAAAATGTACTGCATATCCTACGGTGAAGCTTAATGTTGTCTTGTCCGGGGCAACATGGCTAGAACCTGATCCGATAGATCGATGCTACACTGATGGAAATTTGGTTACTGGAGCAGCATGGCCAGGGCATCCACAGTTCATCTCTCAATTGATGGCATTGCTAGGTATCCGGGTCTCATTCTAGTTGCTGTCACTATGCTTGTAGATTTCATCGTATGCCTTCTTATATCAGATAGCGTGTTAATATAACTCATGCTTTCTTGTATCAAATTGCATGTTGAATATCCAGCATATCAACTCCTAAAGCATGCGTGTGTCAAAAATAAAAAAATAAAAAAAAATAAGTATTTTGTAAAAAGTAAGAGCTTCTAATGTATTTTGGCTATGCATTTATGGGTGCAAAACCGAGTTATCGTTGTTATTGTTGTATTATTTTGTTGATCTTAAAGAAATTTCAATCAATCAGTATTAAGGGAGTGTAGGCTCCAAGGAACAACTTCTCTATGGTTAGTTTTGTCTAACACTGGAACCAAAGCCTGTAGCAATTGAATTGGTGTGTAGGACTAAAGGAATTTGGACTTTAATTGGGAGTTTTTACTTCCTAATGCAATCTATCTTAACACGTGCGAGTTAAAAAGTAGAGACAGTCTTGAAGATAAGCTAGTTGGAAAGGAGGAACTTAGAATGAACGGTTTGTTCTGTATTATTTAGCTATTATTTTATTTTATCATAATTTTCCATCTTATGTAATTTCAAAAGATATAAAAAATGTAGCTTAATTTTTATGTAAATTAACGTTATGTATCTTGAAAAATTTCTAATAAATAAATTGCTGGTTTTATAAAGCCAAATGGTCAAAAAAAAAAAATCTGTAACTTTGATCTTTTTATTCATTCTAGCCAACATTCTAATTTTTATTAATCAATACTATGAATTTTTTTTTTTTTTTTATCAAATTTAGACTCAGGTCAGCATTCCGTCGAGTTGGATTTGTAGGCCCCATGGGATGCGTGATCAGTATTAAATCACCAGTTCACAAGGAATAAAAAAATTATTAATTTTATGTACTTAATAATTTAAAATGAAAAACTAAAAATTATTATTTTGAAAACTTTATTTTCTTCTACCAAACAATTTAATAATCTACAGATAAGTTTCTACTACTATAAAATAGTATCAATACCAATGGAGAAATATGTCGTGTTATTTAACTTTATTAATTAAAAATTTACACTTGTAAATCAAAATATAAAGTCTTTAATCAAATAACATCAAATATCATATTTTTATTTAGTGATAAACCCTCGTAAAGAAAAAACTAAAACTTCACATATTCAAAAAGTAACCATAACAAATCAAAGAAAAAACATATATATTATAGAAAGAGCATATATATTATAGAAAGAGAAATAACAAAAGGTAGGGCCTATTCCTGACGGTCAGCGACCGCCCGAATTAAAATTTGGGCTGAACTACTAGAGAGGAGAAAAAAAAGGATCATGATGATTTTCTATGGATTTTATTTTTATTTTTATTTTTATTTTTATGAAATTTTTTAATTTGATTTGTTATATTGGTTTTCTACTTTAATCCAAATCTTAATAATAAGATATAATATTTGATCTCAGTTAGATATCTTAAAATTAAATAAAGGAAAAACATCTCAATTAACAATATATATTGAATTCCTAATTTAATTCATGTTTAAGAATATAATCTTTGTTCTCAATTACTAGTCCTTTGCCATTTCATAATTAATTTTGAGATTGGATTTGTATGTTTCTAATATTGTGCATTTGTGTTTATTTTAGCATAACTTTAATGTTAATAAACAAGTTCATTTCTTTTTTAAATAAAAATGAAATTGAACTTGAATATTTCCGAGTCCTGAAGCCAAATTCGAAATTGAAAATTAAAATTTGAACTTGCTTTTACTATGGAAAGGTGAATACTTTTAGCAATTTGCATTCAAAATACAATTGCAATCATCATCACTAGGAGCTAGCTAGTTAAAGTTCAACTAGAAAAAAGTTTGAAAATTGAGCGAACTCAAGTTTAATGATATTCAACTTGAAAACTCGTCAAACCTTATCGAACTATTATATATATAATATTATTTTAAGTTACTAGAGAATAAAATCAAGTTCGAATTTAAAATTTTTCAAGTTGAACTCAAGCCCGAAGTCGAGCTTGAGCTGAGGTCAAGTTGAACTCAAGCCAAGCTTCGAATCTGGCAATTTCAAGCTCGACTCGACTCATTTACACCTTTAATCATCACAAACTTTTTTTATTTTTCATTTTTTTTGAGTATTGAGAGTGAGATTTAAATCCGGATCTATTGTCGGATTATATATGTACTTATCACTAGGCTATGACTCGACGTACCTTTTTATTTTTCATTTTTGAAACATTACTAAAAACAAAAGTAACGAATATTGATGATCTGTTAGATCCCCCGCTGACCATTTCATTAACCTTGTAGGGAAGAAAATGTATAGCATATCCTGCAGTGAAGCTTAAACTCAGTCTCGTCAGGGGCAACATGGGTAGACCCTGATTCAATAGATTGTTGCTTCACCGATGAAATTGGTCACTGGAGCAGCACGGCCAGGGCACCTAGAGTTCATCTCTCAATTGATGGCATCGATCGTTGCTTCACTGATGAAATTGGTTACTGGAGCAGCACGGACAGGGCACCTAGAGTTCATCTCTCAATTGATGGCATCGATCGTTGCTTCACTGATGAAATTGGTTACTGGAGCAGCACGGACAGGGCACCTAGAGTTCATCTCTCAATTGAAAGAAATGAAGCTTGAAAAATGATTGATTCCGAGAAGCCTGAAGCCAAATTCGAGATTCTGCATCAAAATTAAAATTTGAACTTGCTTTTTTTACTACTGGAAAGTGGTGGAATGATGGCATTTAGCAATTAGCTATTCAAAAATACATATTGCAAATCGTCATTCTCCACCTCGAGAGCAGACGTCATTGTTAAAGGTTGAGTCAACGAAAGAGAAAAGTATTGATTAAGAAATTGAAAGACTACTCAAGTTTAATGATAATGCAAATATGAAAAACTCTGGCAAACCTTATTTCGAGATTCCTATTATATACGTTACCATAATATTTATTTTTAAGGTATAACCGAAGAATAAAATCAAGTTCGAATTAAAATTTTTCCAAGTAACCTCAAGCCCAGAAGTCGAAGCTTGAGCTGAGGTCAAGGTTGACTCAACCAAGCTTCGAATCTGGCAATTTCAAGCTCGACTCGACTCATTTACACCTTTAATCATCACAGAACTTTTTTTATTTTTCATTTTTTTGAGTATTGAGAGTGAGATATTTAATTCGCGGGATCTATTGTCGCGGAATTAATGATATCTGTACTTATCACTAGGCTTATGACTCGACGTACCTTTTTACTTTTTTCATTTTTGGGAAGACATACTTTAAAGACACAAAAATTTAACGGTATATTGGTATCTGTATATCCCCCGAGCTGGACAATTTTCAATTTCAACCCTTGTATGGAAGAATAATCTATAGCATATCCTGCAGAGCAAGCGGCTTAAAACTCCCGCCAGTCTCGTCAAGGGGGCCAAGAGCAAACAATAGGTATAGACCATTGATTCATTCGATTTTTGCCTCACCGCATGATAAACATAATTGGTTCAAACCACCTAGAGTTCATCTCTCAATTGATGGCATCGATCGTTGCTTCACTGATGAAATTGGTTACTGGAGCAGCACGGACAGGGCACCTAGAGTTCATCTCTCAATTGATGGCATCGATCGTTGCTTCACTGATGAAATTGGTTACTGGAGCAGCACGGACAGGGCACCTAGAGTTCATCTCTCAATTGATGGCATCGATCGTTGCTTCACTGATGAAATTGGTTACTGGAGCAGCACGGACAGGGCACCTAGAGTTCATCTCTCAATTGATGGCATTGATCGTTGCTTCACCGACGGAAATTGGTTACTGCAGCAGCGCGGCCAGGGCACCTAGATTTCATCTCTCAATTGATTGCATTGATGGCGTCCGGGTCTCATTCTAGTTGCTGTCAGTATGCTTATAGACTTCATGTGTGGCTTCCTGTACAAAATAAAATGTTGGATATCCACCGTATCAACATCTGATGCACAGCTCATGTCGAAAAAATAGTAATAATACTAAAAAAAATTTATTCTGATGCATTCAGGCAGTGAATTATTCCATGAAAATCAGTTATTCCATGTTATTAAGCAACAAACCCATTCCAAAAAAAAAAAAAAAGCAACAAACCCCCTCCAAAAGTTTAACTAGTGGCATCAAATTTATTACCTGAGGCCACATTAAAGTTTAACTAGTGGCATTGAAGTTTTAATTAGTGCTAGAATAAAGCATTTCTAGTGAAACAATAGAGTGTTGCTCGGGTTAGTATGCAGCTTTAATCCCATAAGAATAATAACACAAGTTCGATCTCCAAGAAGCATATTTGCTAAGAGGCCCAAAAACCTTTCCGCTCAAGTGCTCGAAGTAATCCACATTAAAAAGGTGCGGAGATAACTCCCGGTTCTAACAAAAAAGAATAAAATAAAAAGTATTTCCAGTTACTGCAGCTGCTAATGTGGCATTACAATCCTATTCCTCAAACTAAATTAAAAAATAACACCTTGTTCTTCATATGATTTGGGCTTATAATTGTTCTTGGATAATAGTTAAAATCTCATCACATTGAAGTTTAACCTTAAATGATAAACCTCTATTTGCTATGTTCTATTTATTTGAGTATTTGGAAATTGTTAGTTAAACTAGTATAGAATAATTATAAACTTGCAAATTCATGGGTATATTCAACTTCTTATCAAAATTTGTTGGCCAATTAATGTAAATGATTCTGGGTACTTTGTTGGGTTAAATAGTGATTTTCTAATGTTTAGTATTTTCACATTGTCATGCGAAACTAGACCTATATAAAATATTAAATCTAACAGTACATTATTAAATATACACTCAGAATATAGACAGTAAATTTCAAAGAATAGATTGAATTCACCTTAGATTGCTGAACACGGAGCAGTCTTGAAAGACAGAAAGAAGATTGCAAAATTTTGCGCAAAAGCAGCAATTGCGAAACCTGAGGGTGGTTGAGAGAATAGGAAATGAAGAGGAAAAAAAAAAAGATTAGAAGCCCAACGCCCATAGTGAAGAGAGATGCAGATGGTGTCTGGTGTTAGCATGCTGACATTCAATTATTCTTATTCATGCATAGACATTGATATTGCCATGAGTGATATTGCCATTGACTGTTAAATCTAGATGTTTCAAACCCACTTCCTCCAGGACTGTTAAATCTAGATGTTTCAAACCCACTTCCTCCAGGGATGTATAAAAACCCCAGCGCATCTACACTCGTCTTAAATGAAAAAAAAAAAAAAAGCGACACTCGATATCTATAAACACTGCAGAAAACCAGGATATAATATGTAAAATGTTAAATGAAGAATTACACATGATGAGAGTAAGATATATATAATGTATGTTAGAAGGCACATTATCTCTTAAATAGACGCATAGGGCATTGTAAGTACACAATAGTAAAGAATTATATCATATAGATGTTCGATCATTTAGTGGAAAAACAAGCTCCTATCGATCACAGTAATATTTTATCCATTAACATACATATTAGTAGTTGTTACATTGTCAAGGGTGTTCCAATTGCCGTCAATTTGTAGTAGGTGACTAGTTAATTATGTATGTATAGTCATATCAACGCAACTTTAGATCCAAGATGGTCTGCTCTAGATGTTCGTCTTAAATGAAAAAAAAAAAAAAATAAATAAATAAATAAATAAATAAATAAAGAAAACACACTTAATGGAAGGCATAACTCACCAATAAATCTACCTAAAGATTCTAACTTGAGAAAAAGCTCCAACAAGAAAACCTACAAAAAGATTTTACATGCAAGGGTCATTAGTAATTTGAAATAAATATTGTTAAGCAATCTAACACAATATAATCAAGATTGGTTGTTCAAATAATAAAATTGAAACTAAAAGTGAAAGAGAAATTTGCCAAAACAAAATTCTCTGATATTCATGAAAGCACAAATACCAAACAGCTAATATGTCAGAAATTTGATTCCACCATTCAATTAGTTGTGACTTCTCAAATCAATAATCAGAAACAAAAACTGAATTCTACCATGCATGCGATGTTAGTACAAAAAAATGAAAAATGAATCATGGAAAATTATTTTAGGAAAAAAAATAAAATTAGGCAGAAAGTCAAATTGGGGAAATACAAATCTGTCAGGATGATTTTTGGAAATGGTAAACCCTAGCCTAGAATTTGTTGTTGGTTGCTTGAATTGGGAAATTCAAATCATTAACAGAGAAATTAACAAAAACATAAAGAGATGGCTCACCTGTCTTCAGCATTGGAAGACGGAAGCTGATGCTCAGCAAGATTTGGGCAAAGATTATGCAATAGTTGACCTCAATCATCAAAACATGTGGCTTAGTTGCTCTGCATAAACCCTAAAAGGGATATATATATATAGAGAGAGAGAGAGAGAGAGATTCAACATAATTATTGATGTGTGCACTTTATATCACCAGTAAAACCTAGAAAATAGAGATTTTCACTAGCCTTTATATCACCAGTAGTCATTGCAAGAGCACTTTCCAGCTATAAAATGATGGAATCTATTTGAATCTCTCAGGATGATCGGCCTTTCTATAAGTTTAGATACAAACTTCATAAAGACGTGGCAGTCTCCACAAACCCGAATATTCTTAATAATCCTTATGGGTCCATGATGCTTTTTTGTCAAACCAAATGCAAGAGCGAGTTTTTCACTGTGGTAATAAATGGATTCACGTTTCTCATTCTCCCCAACATCATGCAGAACCCAGTTTGTGTTAGGAATAAACCCAACTTTCTGCAGTTTACTTATCAATCCATCAAGTTCTTCATAGATTGTTTTTGTATCTGGATGAGTATGATCATCTGCTACAAATTTGTGAACATCACCATCAATTTCAATCCAACTGTAGGCTGCAAATTTTTTAACATTGTTAGTTTTCATCAATGATCTTATGGATGCAACATCAGTCCATCTTCCACAAGCAGCATACATATTTGACAATATGATGTAAGGTCCAGCATTGAGTGGGTCCAATTCAAATAGGCGGCTAGCTGCCATCTCTCCATGCTTGATGTCACCCTTCACTGAACAAATAGATAAAACAGAGGACCAAATTAAGGAATTTGGCTCATGGGGCATACTACTAATTAAGTCCATCGCTTTGTCCATATTTCCTGAGCGTCCAAGGAGATTGATCATGCATGCAAAGTGATCCAAAGTAGGCACCAGTCCATGCAATTTATTCATAGATTCAAAATATCTGTTTCCTTCTTCAACTAAACCCGCATGGATGCAGGCGGAGAGAACTCCCACAAAAGTAATATTATCTGGTTTCATATCTTCTTGCAACATCTTTTCATAAAGAGCTAGGGCCTCTAAGTCCTTTCCATTCTGTGCAAAACCTCCAATCATGGCATTCCAAGAAACTACATTTCGAGTTGGCATCATAGCAAACACAACCCAAGCATCATTAGTGACTCCACATTTGCAATACAAGTCAATAAGAGCAGTGGACACAAGAAAATCCTCATCCATGCCCATAAGCAATGTTTTACCATGAAAAGCTTGACCATGAAATAGTGAGGCTAATTTGGCACAGGAACTAACCACACTCGAGAAAGTATAACTATCTGGCCTGACATTTGCTAACAACATCTCATTAAACAATATCAAAGCATCCCCTTCTTTCCCATTTTGTACATAACCGACTATCATTGTTGTCCAACAAATATTATCTTTTTTTCTAATCTCATTGAAAACCTTACCGGCCTCATCAGTAAATCCACTTTGAAAATATGCACAGAGAACATTTGAAACAGTAAACTGGTCAGGCCTCAAACCTAGCACCTGCATCTCATGAAACAAGTCTATGCATTTTTCACATTGCCCATTTTTCAAGTACCCATAGATCATTGAATTCCATGACACCACATTTTTATTCCCCAGTCTATCAAACAACCGCCTTGCATGATCAATCTCACCACATTTAGCATACATATCAATTAAAGCATTCCAAATAAATACATTGGCACCCAAGTTTCGAGTAATGATCCTACCATGAATCTGCTTCCCTTTTCTCAAATCCAACAACTGTGTACATGCATTTAAAACACTCACGTGGGTGTAATCTGTAGGCTTGAGCCCTTCATTTTGCATTCTAACAAAAGCCTCCACTGCCTTACTTGCACATCCATTTCTCGTGAAACCCGAAATTACTGTATTATACGATACAGAATCACGAAAAGGCATGCTATCAAAGATAACCCGCAAATCATCAACCAACCCAACTTTAGCATACAAAGATAGGATTGCATTCCAAGAGAAAACATCTCTTTGGGGCATCTTATCAAACAAGTCTCGAGCATTAGAGACATTACCTGATTTTGCATACAAGTGAAGAAGACGATTTTGAAGGAAACTGTCACTAGGTTGATACAAGTGAAGATCCATATGGGTTTGCAATCTCTTGGCTTGATCAACATCATTGGCTCTAAAGCAATCAAGCGCTAGGCGAGTATAGGATTCATGAGTTGCTGGACCGTGACTATATAACGAGTCTATTGCTCGGCACAGCCTGAGCTTGGGTGCCACATCTCTCATTACAGGCCTTTGAATTTGGATTTCAATTGATTGTGTTATGTTTGTGCCAAGACCCTGTAAATTGGAAATTTATTCTCATCAGTCACACAATTATTCTTGTATGAAAAAAGGCTTAATAATCAAAATACCCTGAACTTTATAACTTGTTGCAATTGCACCCAAGTTTAAACATTTTGGCATACATGCCCTTAATGAAAGTTAGAGCACATATGTACTCTGGTTCTAATTAAGGTTAGGGTTTGGAATAAAGAAACGATTAATACAAGCCCCACAACCTAAGCTTGGGTCTCCATCTATCCATCAACCGACACCGTATGGGAAGGTGTGCGAGGGGAATGGTCATCTTCCTCTCTTTGCTTGCATCCATCCCTTTCTCTCTCTAATTGGACAACACTCGAATAAAAATTACAAAGGAGATAGTAGTGCATACTTTAAACAAAGTAACAAGTAAAGAAACTAATCTAATCTTCTCAACAATTATTGATTCTTTCTAATCCATAAGAAAATTTTCACTCAAAAACTTTCTTGCGAACTAGAAAAATTAAGAGTAAATCAATGCTGAAACTCTTATGCCAACAAAAGAACTCATAAGCCAAAAATTAGTTAGCAACGGAAAATTATATGCTTGAAAAAGAACTCACATTTAAGAAAATTTAGAAAGCAAACATAATTAGTCAAGGATAAGAAATCGTAAGCCAAAATTAGAAATGAGAAATTTTGAGTGTTCATTGTAATACACCCAAAATGAGATAAAAGACCTCAAACACTAGGAACAAGAAAATAGAATTTGACGCAGTTATACAGAGGAAAGAGGAAATGGTTAAAAATGGCAGACTTGATCTCCAGGAGATTCGACTTCTAGAATACAGATCTTAGGACCAATTTCGACAGCACCTCCCCTAAAAATAGGACTATTCTACCTGTTAAAATAATGTCAAATACTTGCTATATATTCATTCAATCTACACAGCCCAAATAATACAGAGGGCAGAGGAAATGGTATAGAAAATAGGGACAACGTTGATCTCCAGGAGATTCGACTTCTTAGGAATACAGATCTCACCCAATTTCGACAGCACGCTCCCCTAAAAAATTAGACTATAAGTAACTAAACCTGTATAAAAATTTTGAAAATGATCAAATTAATTGTTGCATATATATTCATATCAATCTACACCAGCATCCATCAGGCAATCAACCAAATCAAGTAACGGTGTTCCTCATACCGTTCCTTTAACACGAACGATATCAAACACACCAATGTCCTACAACAGACCACTTACAATAAAACATAAATATTATATTCTAAAGATAATATGATTATCAATCCTTTATATTTATGTAACGTAATAAGAGAAACTGCACTAAATAACTATGTAACGGACAGACATCACCCCAAAAAACTGCTGAGTTCTTAACATACTTTTAATTGGTATTGTACATTCAAGGCTTTAATAAGACAATACCTAATCCACACCAATTTCGACAGCACCTCCCCTAAAAATAGGACTATTCTACCTGTTAAAATAATGTCAAATACTTGCTATATATTCATTCAATCTACACAGCCCATCCATCAGGCAATCAACCAAATCAAGTAACCGTCCTCCTTTAACACGAACATCAACACCCAATCATCACAACCACTTTACATAAACTTAATTTATATTCTAAATAATATGATTTATCAATCCTTGTATATTTATGTACGTATATAGAAACTGCATAAATAACTTTCACCATTAACTCTTATTTAACATCTTTTAATTGGTATTGTACATTCAAGGCTTTAAGCTACTTCACACACACTTATATGAATATATCTCATAAATCAAGCAAAAACCAGCTACATATCTTTCTTTCTCCATATCAATGCAAGAACCAAATTTCCGAAGCTTAGTTTAAAGGTTCTTAGATTAAACATTCATATTAAGTAAAAGCATAGCCAACAAGATCATATCATCTTAAAGAAAATCAAAACACACTCATTCTTAGTTTTGATTAGTCAAAATTCATAAGACCAATCTCGTAGCAGCTGCCATTTCATAGAAATCCTAAATTCTAGCTTAAACTCATAGGCCACAGGCTAGCAAATTCATTAATCAACAAAGAATTCATTTTAATATACCGTTTCTAATCTCATTGTTATCAAACTCATTAAGATGAACAATGTGGCTGCTGCCATTATACAAAGCTTCAAGTTTCTCCACCAAAATCATGTTCCACATGATAATCAATTCATTTCTCAACATAATTTTTTTTTTTTTTTTACAATACCATTTCTTCTTAAAATAATATAACTCATATAAATAACTAAGTTAGTCACCGTCGTATTTAAGAAATCCTTGATTTCTTTGCAAAAATTTGTAATATAAGCAAATAATCTACCTATTTCTATACAAGAATTCAGGTAATATATAAATTAGAAGGTAAAAATCAAAATTTCCCGTCAAGGGATTAGCATATAATATATATTTCATTCATTACTTATCTAAAACTCAAGCTAATGGCTAAATAGCTGCTGCAATATTAAAGAATCTTTGATTTTTTTGCTACAATACGAGATAAACATGGTAATCTACTCATACTCATCTAGAAACTCAGATTTTATAAGCTTCCAATAACAATTTTTAGCAAAATTTTCTAAGTTAATTTGCAGAAATAGTAGCTAGCGATTTCAATTTCTACACTAACTTAATTTATGCCTCAAATCCTTCAACTAAGATCAAAGAATCCACGAATACCAAAGAGGATTGAAATCAGCTTACCCAGTTGTAAAACGCATCGGAGATTGAAGTTTTCCAGTTAAAATGATCGGAAGCTACATCTACTCTCCAATCTAGCTACTGCCGCCGCTATCTTGACCGGAAATGAAAAGGAAAGTGGCCAGAGAAGTGCTAGAGGCGAGGAGAGGTCTGGTCCGGCCGGTCCTTGGCTGGTCTTGCCGGAAAAATCAAAAGAATGCTAAGAGAGGGCTGTGTCGATCGGAAAGAAGAAATCGCAGCTCTCTCACTCGTTGCTGCGTTATAACCGGACCGAAAAATAGTGAGGGAGAGAGAGGGAGAGAGAGAGAGGCGGAGCTGAGTGTTTGTGGTGACGGAGCCGCCGGAAAAATGGAACGTAGGGGAGGAGGGGCTACCCAGAATCGGGAAAGAGAGGAGGGATGGGGACTTGTTAGGGATTTTGACATTTCTAGAGCCTTCTCATTGGCTCTGGAGCGATTTGCTTCAACTCAGGTCTGATTATGCATAAACCATTGGTTTTGAATGGTTTTCAGCTTGATTTAAGGGTTCTCTATGAGTTTAGATTGGTTCAATAATTAAAGTACATTTATATTGGACTTCATTTATTAATTTATAAAATAATGCTTTTGCTATTTTAGATATAAAATGAATTATAATGTCATTAGATAATGATTTTGTGATTTTAAATGTAAAATGAATTATAATGTTATTGGTTCAAAATTGATATTTAATTTTCAAATGGAAAAGTTTTTAAAAATATAAATTTATGTTGTTTTACAAGCCAATGACATAAATTATGCGACGGAGATAATACATGGAAATATAAATTCATATATATAATTGAAAAGCAAAAAATTAGCAAAAAGAAAATTAATTTCACCAACATAAATAATAAAATTTCTAAGAAAATAATCTATCTAAATATATTTTAAAAGAAATCAAAACCCTATGTAATGCGCATACTTTTACCTAACTAATTGAAATTTGCAATTTACATGCGTTGTCAAGGATAATATTTGCTTATATATGATATATCATTATCCCATACACCAAACCAATCTATAAAGAACTATTTCAAAAATGTTATTATTTTATTTTTTCAGTTAATTATAAAAATACCTTCATTACAAACAAAAGTTTATTTTTATTGGTTTTGTGTAGGAATTAAAGCGTTCGGGAATTTTAGGATATCCATCCACGTCGATCCATCTAAAGAGGATATAGATAATTATAGATGGATTTAGGACGGATATGGATGATTTGGTAGTGAGTAACCACAGGCATCCTATCTAGTATTAGTAAAAATTATATTTTAAATAACTTCAAATTTGGATAGTTTAAGATTCGTTAGTATCCCACCCATATAAGAATATCTGAAGTAGGTTTTGGATGGGTATAGGTAGTAAAAATTTAAACGGGTTAGGATATGAGTACTTAAATAGAAATTTAAATGGATATAAAACGGATACAGATAATAAAATTTTAAAGGATACGGATAGCATAAAATTCTCGAGTACTCATTCCGCTTCCATCCCTATTTTTGTAAATAGAGTTGTGAGTAGGTAAGTCTTCCTACATTGTGAATATCAATGACGTGAAAAGCATTTATATGTTGATGCTACGCTAAAGCATAAAAGGGTTGTTTAGATGTGCATCGTAACACAGTCTCTTCCTACCTTCCTATCTAGGTGATAATTCATCGTTATGGAATGAAATGATCTTCATTCTGATTTCATTTCGAAATATTTCAGAATTTAAAAATTCACTCCACACTTTTTCAATTTTTTTTTTTGGAAGTTAAAATTTCATTTCATTCCATTTTGTGACATTTGGATTGAAATTCAGTAATGCTAAATTTCACAAACATAAATATAAAGGTAGTCTAGTATGATATATCTTAAGATATAAGAAATAATCAATATTAATATTTAAAATTAAATATAAATACTAAAAACATAATTGAACTACATTAAACTGTTGTCATAATAATAAGAATTTCTTATTTCAATTACTTTCCATTGTTAACGCGTCAATTATTCATCATTCATCTATATTTATATTTTCTTTTCCATTTTGATCACAGAGATGAAAATTCTATGGTTAAATCTTATAACAAAAAAGAATAACACCAATAGCTTGTAATCAATATGAAAAGAACTAAATCACATAATTTTCAAACTTGCTTCAATCCATAATTATAGAAATATTTAGCTGCCGCCAATTCAAGAAATCAAAGTTTTTCTCCACCAAACTCACTAATTCCTAGCAATAATTAAAATTATAACTTCAATATATCATATCAAGCAACAATTTATAAAAACAATTAGAAATAATCGTTGTCATGTTCAAGAATCTTTAAGTTTTTGATTAAAACTCATACTTTACATGCTAGTTAACCCATTTCCCATCAATCACAACAATAGTTTAAGTAAATAGCTAAATGGCTGCTGCCATTTGAAAGTTTCTTAATTCCTTCCCTAAAATCTGCACTTAACTACATACTTCTTCATTTGTATATGGATTTTCGTTTATGATGTCAATTAGTAGGTTAAGCTAAGAATTTCCCATCAAGAGTTTAGTATATAATATAAATTTTCTTCATAATTTATCAAAAATTCAAGCAAATGGTTAAACCAATGGCTGCCATGTCAAAGAATTCTTAATTTCTTGGATATTCCATAACAACTCACAAATCTCCATGCACCTATTGCCCCTTTCATGATACTCTATTTTTCTTGCAGAATTTATCATTAAAAGCTAAGAATTTCCCATCAAGAGTTTAGTATATAATATAAATTTTCTTCATAATTTATCAAAAATTCAAGCAAATGGTTAAACCAATGGCTGCCATGTCAAAGAATTCTTAATTTCTTGGATATTCCATAACAACTCACAAATCTCCATGCACCTATTGCCCCTTTCATGATACTCTATTTTTCTTGCAGAATTTATCATTAAAACACTACTAGATTGCTACCAAATCAAGTGAATAAGTTTATAGCACCATAATAAGTTAAACTCAAGAAAAATTTATGAAATTCTCTTATCTGGTTGCTGCCATATATCAACAAGTCTCAATCTCAAATCAAACATTGCAAGAGCCATATTATTCTAACCATTATCTCATAGGAATTTAGTTTACACTTGCATTTACTATAGAATTTAAAGATTTCTTTAAACTTGTGTGAATAGTATCAAATTCTGAAACTTGGATTACGCCCTAGACCAGTGTTATAAAAATCTCCATTTGAGAAATATTTTGCTTTGAGGATTTGATAAAGAAGAGTACTCTGGTTGGTTAGGAGACGCCAACCTTGTTTGCCCAAAGGTGCCAAATTAAAGCTATGAAGGTTTCGGAAACCATTCCCTGTCTTTCTTACTCGAACATATTCTCTCCCATGACAACCAGTGAATATTTCTACGCTCATCCGGCTTTGTACCCCACCAAAAAGAGTTAATCATCCGTTCTAGCTCTGCACAAATAGAAATAGGAATGAGGAAGACACTTATACGGTAAGCAGGAATAGAGTGCACAACAGATTTAATCAAAATTTCTTTCATTGCTTTAGACAATAAACAACCCTTCCAACTTTGAAGCCAACTCCAAAGCCTATCTCTAATAAAAGTGAAGATATTTTTTTTATTTCGACCAATAAAGGAGGGGAGACCAAGATAATTCTCATGATTAAGTGGGGTATGAACATTCAAAATATCAGATATAGATTGTCGCAGATCTGGATGGACATTTGGACTAAAGGAAGATACCTTATTTTTTAAAATTCACCGATTACCCAGACGCCCGCTCATAAGTCTCCAACATTTCCTTACAAAGCGGCCTTTCCTAGCCGTAGCCTGAAAGAAAGAATAACTGTCATCTGCGAATAAAAGGTGAGAAACGCTAGGATACGACTATTAAATGCTTGGTAATTAAGGTATGTTTATATTGGATTTTATCTATTAAATACATGAAATAATGCTTTTGATATTTTAAATATAAAAATGAATATAATATTATTGGTTTAAAATTAATATTTAAAATTTAAATGAATAAGTTCTGAAAATAAAAATTTAGGTTGTTTTCAATTATTAAAATATATACTCCCTCCGTCTCATTTTATTTGCTTGTTTTTCCTTTTTTAGATGTCCCAAAATACTTGTAACGTTTCTAAATTTAGACATGAAAATAATTATTTTTCTCATGATCACCTCTATGATCTTTCATTAAATGAGAGACTTTTAATAATATCTTCAATAAGTTAAGGGTAAAAAATGGCAAAATAAATTTTATTGACTAAATTTTTAATATTCCTGTTTTGTCAAACCAAGTAAACAAAATGAGACGAAGGGAGTAATTAGAATTTGAAAAAATAAAAAATAAAAATTTGGTGTATGAATTGGAATATGGAATTACCTATCATATTCCGTTCTATATTCCATATACCAATATTTTAAAAAATACATTCCATTTTAAATTTCATATTTCAAAATTCCGTTTCAAATTAAAATTCGATTTGGAATTTCAATCTAGATTAGTATATTCCGCACCACATTCCTACTCATCTGTATTTTTCAAAAACATAAATTCGATTATCAATTAGATTATTTTTTAGAGAAAAGAATTATCTAATATGTATAATTAGATTTCTAATAATTTGATTTTTATCCAAACAATTTAAAGACCTTTCAAGGTACAAGCCTTTCACATTGATTTTAGAATTTATTAATAAATATTAATTGTGATTTTTAAAATTTTTTAATATGTATATATGGTTATAATAAAATTTTTTAATTTATAATTAAACTTTTTTTTGTATAAGTTTACTTATTTTTTAAGGATCTTATACGTTTCATGCTGAGTTTTATATAATTTTGTGCGGATGTATTAGAAAAGAAAAAGAAGAGGAAACGGCTTAACAATTTTTTATTTTTTTTGAAGATAAACTTAATAAATTATTTGAAATATATATCTATACTGTTGGTTTATGTTTTCTATTAGTATACGAGAACTTGACTGTTTAATATATTTTTTATTTTAAATTTTATATATATTATATGGAAGTCAAGTATAAGTCTCTGAAATTGTCGAGTTGGAGGAGGACAATAATTATTTAGCACGATTGTAAGAAAATAAGGTGTAATGATAGTAATTGTAAGAAAATAAGTTGTTTTATATTATTAGATAATGTATTTATCATGATAATATCTATTAGTTACATCTCATCAAGATAATATATTAAATTAAATTAAAATTAATTAAAATACAAATAACCCAAGCCATACAATAATTATTTTAGCACGAATTGTAAGAAATAAAGGTGTAAATGATTAGTAATTGTAAGAAAATGAAGTTTGTTTTATGATTATTAGATAATGTATTTATCATGATAATATCTATTAGTTTACATCTCATCAAGATAAATATATTAAATTAAAATTAAAAATTATTAAATACAATAACCCAACCATAGAAAATAAGAAATACTTAATTTTTATTTTAATAATTACCTTGGTGTTGGGTAGTCCTTATATCTAGGAGCTATTGCGCACGACTACGGGACAACGACATAATGGAAAAACAGGAATTATATATGATAAATAATAAAACAATTATTATAATAAATAAAAATAAATAAACAATTATTTATAATAAATAAAAAATAAAAAAACTTAATTTTTTATTTTAATATAATTAGTTTAAATTAAAAATAAATTAAAATACATATAATCTAAATTATAAAATAAAAAAAATTTAATTTCTTATTTTAATGATTACCTTGACATATGGGGTAGTCTTATAAATAAATAAACAATTATGTATAATAAATCATAAACATAAAATAAAAAATACTTAATTTCTCATTTCAATAATTAGTTAAATTCTTAAAATTATTATCAATATTAAAAAATATATTAATAGTGTGTCTACATTTTTTAATATAGGTCATATCATGTATGGCTTTTACTATTACATACCTTATGAAAAGTTTCGTATGATACTTAAAAAAACATATTAGCATCGCAACTTTTCATCATATCTCAATAAGATATAATTTATTATTTTATTATATAATTTTAATATTTTTGAATGATGTTATAAAATACGATTTCATCTTTTAATATTACTCAGCGGATCGTGCGGATTATAAGAGAAAAAAATAATTATATTTTCATATAATATCATATATGAGAAAAAAAAATCAAATTATATTAATAAGCAAAAACTATTTTATTTGAAAATAAGAAAGGAATATAAGGGAAAAAAATTCCGATAATTTTCTCTTCAAATTAGAAGAAAAATAAAAAACTATAAAAAATGCTTATGACACGCTACACTAAATAAGTAATGTATTAATATTTTAAATAAATAAACGGTCATTTATAATAAATTATAAACATAAAATTAAAAAAATTAGTTTCTCATTTCAATGATACAAAAATAAATTTTAAAAGAAAATAATTCTTTTTTTTATTGGTAATAAAGAAAAACCTTGGTTGATTAGTTTAGTGTATGGAGCAGTCTCATATACCAATAGTTAGGTTGTACGGATACGGTACAAGAGATACGAAAATGTACAAGATGCAGTAATTTCTTAAAAAGTAAGACATCCACACGCTTAAATACACTACACTAAATAAGTAATATATTAATATTCAAATAAATAAACAATCATTTATAATAAATCTCAAACATAAAATAAAAAAAATACTTAATCTCTTATTTCAATATAATTAATTAAATTCTCAAAATTTTTCTCAAAATTATATTATGACTATTGAAAATACATATAATAGTGTGTGTGTATTTTTTTTAATTCTCAAAATTATTATGACTATTGAAAATACATTAATAGTGTGTGTGTATTTTTTTATGCAGGTTATACTAGGGGTGTCAAAATGGGTCACGACAAGAGAACATAATTTGCCTAACACGCGAAATAAATGGGTTAGGGTTGAGGTTAAACGAGCTCGTGTCATAAACGAGTCACTTATTTATGACAAAAATATAAACGTGTTAGTGTCGCGGGTTGATACACAGGTTAGGTGGGTGACCCGTTTATTTAAGAGTAAAGAGGTAATTTTAGTGTTAGATATAGATACTCCAACTAAAATCTATTTAAATTTTATTGTTGTATTACTATTTTATTTTAATTATGAATTTTAAAGAATTTATATATTTTACGTGTGCAAATTCATTTTTAAATATGATTAAAGTTAAATAGGTTAAAAGTTAAAAATATTATAAACAGAATAAGTGGGTCGTATATAGGTCAACACATCCATATAATCTATTTATCATATTAAGCGGGTTACACGAGTTGTATATGTGTCAACACGATCCACTTAATTTTTTTATGATATTAAACAAGTTAAATGTGTCGTGTTCGTGTGAACCGTCTAATTTTCGTATTGTGTTTGTGTCGAAGTTATAAAAAATTATTTTATTCTTTAATATCGCGCATCGCACGAGTACTAAATACTAATATTTTTTTAAACAAATCAAGTTAAGAGTAATAAAGTCTTTTTCACTTCTCAAAAAAAAAAGTAGGTATTTTTCTGTCTTTTATGTTAAAAACTATGTTTTTTTTTTTTAAAAATGTAAAACTATGTCTTTTAGGAATTGACAATAATATATAAAATATAAAAAATCAAAATCAAAATTCATAATTTATTTTCTTAATATTCGTTTCTATTATGAGACACTAATAAGTTAATGAAAAATAATTCTATTTTCTATCTAAACAGTGTTGCCAAAATATTGTTGATATTTTGAAGTAATGAGAAAATTAATAATAATAAGATAATATTATTGAGACAGATTTCATGGCAATGAGCTTTTCATTGATCACGTGTAATGTTAAATACAGTAAAGAAGTTCTGAACCCTAGCCCTCTACAAACTCTGCAAATCAGGAGAATACATTGTACATCAATTTCTTACAAAAGTAAATGGATAGTAAAACTCATCACAAACTCAGTTCTGCGCGTGTTTGCGAGAAATTGCAGATCGCAGATGGCGAACTATGGGGTGGCTGGTTATTGCCTAGAATTGTAAACGAACTTCGTTTCCTCTTAGATGACTTTTTCGTTCTATTTTATTTTATGTGCAACTCGGAGACCAGTAAGTATGCACCTGACTGTACTTGATCTTAAAGAATTAGGTGACTCCATTATACTTTTGTTTTTTAATAAATGATTTTTATTATTATTATTAATTAATATTTTTATTTATCTTTCATATTAAAATAAAAAATAATATGTGCACTTTGGTGATATATAAAATGAAACTTTGTATTAATTCCCTTTGTGTAATCAGTGATGTTACTTGCTCATGCGTCTTCACTTTTAAACAAATTGATGTTGCTGGTATTAGATAAGATAACAACGTAGTTGGTACAAAGACTTATTCAAATTCTATTCTGTTATATTTAGATATATACAAGTTCCTTGAAACAAGGATTAGAAGAGTCTGTAATCATGTATTTAAATTACACTTGTATGTGAATAGATTATCACTTCCTCTAATCGTTTTTATGGTATCAGAGCCTTTTGCTCAAACAACATTTTTTTTTTTCGATCCTATCTGTGATTCTTCTATTCCTTTTCAATGACTAATCCTTTGGAAGAAACCAGTTCCACCACTCCTACCGTTCTTCAAATGCCAACCCTAAATCCCTCTGAAACTCAATTAGTTTCCATTAATGCCTCCGCTCAAGCTCCTCTTAAACTGACTGCCACAAACCACCAATCGTGGCATACTCAGTGGTACTCTCTATTGGTTGGTTATGATTTTCTTAAGTTTGTTGAGAACCCTATTGCTAGTAATCTGACAGCTAGTTCCTATCTGTTTCGTCAAGATCAGCTCCTTCGAAGTGCTATGATCGC